CAGACAACTTCCCACCCGGAGCATGTGTTTTCCCCCCAACCACGGTTTGCATTCTCATGCGCTCTCTGTGTGCTCGTCACTGTGACTTGAAACGCTGAGTCTTTCTCTGTGTGCTGTCTCTCTCACTCCCCCGGGGAATCAGAGTTCACTCCCCAGATGGTCACAGCTTCCCTGTTGCCTTCTGCAAACACACCGCCCTGCCCCAGGGAGGACAGGGCTGCTAGGCCCAAGCACTGGGAAGTAGCAGAGATGGGCCTCTCCAGAGTACACAGCTTGCTGCTGGCACCTCTGCCTCGCCCAGTCAGGGCTGGGTTATTGGATTGCGTCGGCAAGTGCCTGCTTAATCTTAGCAACTGTGTCAGCTGCCACGGAGCAGCTTCCACTGGGCTCGTGGCCAGCAGCGAGCTTGACACGCTTACCCCCCTACGTCTTATGGCTAATTTGTGTCAGACCTAGGGAGACGTGGGCGTTCTTCCAGCATTGGTGCTTGGCGCACACTCATAGGAAATGGTGGAGCCAAGGCAATTGGCCTCAGCGGTCCCCGCTGTCTACTGTTTCCAGGTGGCATAGATGTTCTCCTCCAGTCCCCCCGTCGCTCCCCTTTCTTTCTCCCATGCATACGTCCCTCCTGTGGTGAAAATTATCTGGTCTCCCCCAGCTCTACATTTCCTGCTCAGCCTTGGCAAAGGCGGAGATAACACGGAAAGCCGAACTGCGAAGGTTTTCTGACTGTTCGAACAATATTGAACCTGTCAGACACCAAGCAAGCCCCGGGGTGTCTCATGCCTTCTGGAGTGGCCAGTGACCTGGGTTCAAGGTAGTCTCCAGGAAGCAGTGTGTTGGGGCAGGTAGGGTCTGAAGCTGCAACGTGGAGGAACCAGACTGAGGTTTGTAGGCAAAGCCAGGCTAGGCTCAATTGCCACCCTCACCCCCTTGCCAAGGCTCCCTATCCACCCCTGCTCATGTTGGCTCCTTGCTTCACCACCCTCCGTTGCAAGGGTTTGCCTTGTGCTTCCTGTGTGGCAGCCGCAGAGAGTAGGGGGGTTACTGAAAGCTGCAGTGGTGGTTTCTTGGCATGGGTATCCCTGTGCTGAAAGAAGGAGAGACTTGTGGAGCAGATACTTCCAGAATATCTGCATTGCGACAGGCAGCATTCACCTGTCAGCGAGCGGAGGCCCAATGCCTGAACATCAGGCCTAGATTAGTACAATGGGGAATTAGAGAGAGCCTGGAAACAGAGCTGAGGTGAGTCTGAGGTGGATATTGGGGCAAGCTCATGGAAAGGTTGGGAACGTTTCTGAAGGGAAACCGGCGCTGAATTTCTGAACAAGCTGGCTGCAGGATGAAGTTTCTAAGAATGGCTTTCTGGGGTGGAAATGAGTTATGGAGAGTGCCGATGGGGGGCTTAGTTTCAGGGACAGCCTGACCCCTGCGTGTCTCAGGGAAGTTTGGGCCGATTCCGTCTTTTGGGCACAAACCTAGCGACTCTCGGTGTCACCGCTGAGCATTTACATTTGCAAAACGGAAAGGGAAGTGGAAGTGGAGTGGAAGGATGGAGGTCCGCCCGTGTACCACTAGCACACAGTCCCACTCCACACAGCCTAGGCACCCGGAGCACTGAGCAGGGATGGCTGCTTTGGCTGGGCCAGCAAGGCGTCCAAAACTTAGTACTCAACGCCTAGCATGTTTACTGTTCCCTAAAATAGGTCACTGAGACCAAATTACTAGGCAATACGCCGAGGAGAGAAATCCTGCCGTAAGCTCCGGGGGTGCTACTATATTTTACTCCCTGCCTAAGGCCCCGTTTCTACTCAGGCTAACGCCCACCCATGCCAGTGGGAGTACGTAGATGAGTAAAGTTACTCGTGCTTGTGAGCGTGGGACGGGGGCCATGAATCAATTGCTGAGTAATGCAGCACTTTATTTTTTTGCACGTACGGTTGTCTTTATTAAGTAATTAAAATTGCACTGAGAAATCTCCCTAAATAACGAGTGAGTTGAATTAGACAGCACACATGCAATTCAGGAGCAAGGCGTTGCTGTGCTCTGCAGTGAGAATCAGAACGGAGTAGCAACTGGGGAGGGGCCCAAGCCGAATTGCTACTTTGGGTTCCTAGAGTCCAGTGCCGGAATCTTTATTTAGACACCTAGAGGAATGGCCTGGTTTTGGAAGGCATTTGTGCCCCCTAATGCCCCGTGGAAAGGAAGGGAGCAGCACCTTTCGAAACCAAGCGACGGCTGTTTTCCACTCAAGGGACGTCTTGTCAGGTTAAGCAAAAGGGGAGGCGCTTGCTGTCAAGCAACTTGCTGAGAAAATGCATTTACTCGTAATCTCCCCTTTCCCGCTTGCATGCCTGCTGCTCTGTCACTGATTTGTAAGTCTGAGCACGTCGGGGTGGTGGCTTAAAGCTGCTTTTCAAGACCTCTTTCAAGTCATTTGAACGGAGGAGAACTTTTAAGTTTCAGAAAAGGTGCCATGAATTAGAATAGCATCTGTGCCGACAGGAGCGGGGGTACAAATTACAAGGGCTTCTAATCTTGGCCCTTCAGGGCATTCTCTGGGGTAAGGAAGAAAGCGCCTCTTCGCATGGTATTGTGCAACAGGGGTCCCATGCTTTCCCCTAAAGCATCCTCCTTTGGCTACCAGCTGAGTCCATTCGTTTGTCAGCTTGTGCGCTTTAAATACTTATAGTGCTGTCTCATCTAGGAAGGTAGCATTGTCTAGTGGCTAGAGCAGTGGCCCGAGTCCTAGGATCTATTACTGGCTCTGCCGCTGACCTGCTGTGTGGCTTCTTGCCTTCCCTATTCCTTTGTCTATTGAGATTATGAAATCTTTAGGGCAGAAATGATCTCTTACTAGGTGTATGTACAGTGCCTAGCACAAGGGGGGCCCTGATTTGGTTGCATCCTTTAGGAGCTACTGTAATACAAATTTAAAATACAGTAGTCCCCCCCCTTTTCTCTTTGCAGATACATCCGCTCAGAACGCTCTGTTATTCTCATCAACTTCTGCCTCTCCATCATTTCCTCCAATGCTCTCATTCTGATTGGACAAACCCAGACTCGGAATAAGGTAGGAGACAAATTTGTTGTTCTCTGATTTAGGACTGAGATGATTTGTGCAGGCAGCTTTCGCCTTCCTCCCTCTTTGCCTCCCTCTGTTAAATAGCTCCATGTCAGAGACTCACCCCCCAAATGGCAGATTTCAATTCTCTCTCGTGCTCGCTCCTGGATAATTTGGGAGCATCCTCAGGGCTTTCGCGAAACACCAATGTGATATTTTTTAATCTCTGCCTAGAGTTAGCAGGCATGTGGTGCAGAAAAGGAGAAGGGTTGTTTGTAAGACTTGAGCTATTTTATCTTCCAGAAGGTCACAAAGACAGGTTGTGGAGGAGGGGAATCCCCAGCCGCTCAGCACTGTAAATGCCTTGCACTTCTCAAGCGGCTTCCACCCTCGATGCTCAGTGTGCGTTGCAAGTGTTCATGAAAAGTCTCTCATGACACCTCTCTCTTGTACTGGAAAGTGTTGCGAGTCCCATTGTCCACATTGCAAAGGTTTATAAAGTGAGAGCCCAGCTCCTCCATGGTATTGAGGTGCCTAACTCCCATTGGTTTGGACATCCAAGTCTTAGAGCTTAAGTGACTTACCCCAGGTTACAAATCTAGGAAGAGCCAGGGACCTGATGGAACCTCTAAGGTATACGCCTTCTCTGTATTACCCCACAGAATATCATAATGCCTCTGTAACTCTCTTTCCTAGCACTTTCATTCTCGGGTGGGCACCTTTTATAATACCAACCCCACTCAACATCTATCACTCTGAAGGCACTTGACAGAGGATAGGGCATTATCCCCATTTTACAGATTGGGAAATTAAGTCCCATAGCAACTGCTCCAAAGTCGCAGAGTGGACTAGTGCCAGAATCAGCACTACAACGTGGGTCTTATGAGAGCAAAACCTGGACACAAACCCACAGGGCTATGCTGCCTCTTCCTGCCTCTTTCTTATAGAGAAGCCCCAAAACTGAATGAGGCTGGTGACTGACTAGCCTTTTGATCCCTAGCCTTTTGATCCCTAGGGTGCCTCTGGGGGGGGGGAAGACTTTTCCCTGCTGCCCAGGTTGCACTGTCTGTGGATCAATGGAGAGGCTCAACCTCAGGAGACCTGCAAGCCTGGCTTCTCTCCACAGTACAGCTTGTGCTTCGAAAGTAAACTCCACAAAGCAATGAGCTTGCCCCCTTTGTGCATCGTGCCTGGTCTGTTCAGTGGTGGAGTGGAGCGCGGAGGGTGGAGAGAATAGCTTTGCCGGGCCTTTCGCTGGGAACTCCATCTGAAGCCAAGAGGGGGGTGTGCCAGGGTTGTGAAAAACTTCATCTCTCCAAGTTCCTTCCCATTTAAAGCTGGACCACCGCGGCTGTGGTTGGCTCTGATTGCTAAACAATCAAGATCGTCTTGGGGAAAAAAAAGTCCACAGTTTTGATGGAGTCGCTCCTGGGCCTTTATTAATTTCTGTCCCTCTTTGGTGCAAAGTTAGGGAATAGTTTGCTCTTGATGTGTTTGCTCCCCATTTTATAGATCTCCATCATCAGAGCCTTTTGTGGGGACTCAAAGCTTCTGAGTGTGATCACAAGAGGCAGATTAGTTCTTTGCCCATAAATATGCACGAAACGCCATAAATAGAAAGGTTATTCTTGGATTTCCGCTCAGCCGTCTAGTAAACAGTCTCCAGTAGGGAACAGAGAAAGAAACCAGACAGAAGAAAAGCAGGGGCTCCCCGGAGTCTAAATTAGGAATTTATAAACGCTAAATTATTGATGATGGAGCTTTATAAATTTGGCGAGGGTTTGTAGCTATATGTTTCTCTCTGGGTTTCTTTGGTATCAATTAGCTTCAATATTGTGAATTCTTCCTGCCTTCATTTCCACCTGTGGAACCTCAAAGCCAGAATCTGATTCTATTTGCAAAACTTGAAGATGAAAGCGCTGGATAAGGGCTAACTAGTTGTAAGGCAGTACAAAAGCAGTGAGCCCGGCGTTATCCAGTGACACATTCATTTCTGTGAGTTTATTAATATATTGCAGGCACAATTATGTGGTATCAATTAGGATTTGATTAATAGAGAATGAAAGGAGGGCAAATTGCAAATTGACAGAGGTTTATGGAAAATATATTCTGTCAAACTACGATTGAGCTTACAAACTTGGCAGATAAATGTAATAGTAGTGACAGAATATAGTTAGATTTCTATGAAGCATTTGACTTGATCCTGCATCGTATTTTGATAAAAAAAAAATTAGAATGAGACAAGGTTAGCATGGCACACGTTAAATGGATTAAAAATTAACTGATTGATCTCAAAGTATAATTATAGACAGGGAATTTTCCTGGATCAGTTGTGTTTCCAGTGGGGTTCTGCAGGCCTTGGTTCTTGACTCTACGGCTGTGTCCAGACTCCATGCCTCGGTCGACGGAGGCATGTAGATTAGCCAGCTCGGAAGAGGGAAATGAAGCCGCGATTAAAATAATCGCGGCTTCATTTAAATTTAAAGGGCTGCCCCGATCTGCCGATCAGCTGTTTGTCGGCAGATCGGGAGAGTCTGGACGCGATGCCCCGACAAAGAAGCCTTTCTTCATCGACACAGGTAAGCCTCGTGAAACCAGGTTTACCTGTGTCGATGAAGAAAGGCTTCTTTGTCGGGGCATCGCGTCCAGACTCTCCCGATCTGCCGACAAACAGCTGATCGGCAGATCGGGGCAGCCATTTAAATTTAAATGAAGCCGCGATTATTTTAATCGCGGCTTCATTTCCCTCTTCCGAGCTGGCTAATCTACATGCCTCCGTCGAAGGAGGCATGGAGTCTGGACACAGCCTACATGATTTTACATCTTTATTAATGACACAGAGAAACCATCAAATCAGAACTGATAAAGTTTGCAGCTGACTCAAAATTGGAGTCGTGGTGATAACTGAAGGGGACAGGTCACCGGTTCGTAATGATCTAGATCACTTGGTAAGCTGGGCACCTGCAAAAAATATCCATGTGAACATGGCCAAATGTAACTGTAGGCATCTGGGAACAAAGAAAGTAGGCTAGTCTTACAGGATGTGGGGCTACATCCTGGGAAGCAGTGACTCTGAAGAAGAATATGTCGGTCACGGTGGATCAGCCAAACTCGAGTTTCCAGTGTGAGGCTGTGGCCAAGAGAGCAAATGAACTCTTGGGCTGCATAAACAAAGGAATCTCTTGTATGGATTTGGCCCTGGTGCGACTGCTGCTGGAATCCCATGTCCACTTCTGGTGCCCACAACTCAAGAAAGATGATGATGAATTGGGGAGAGCTCAGGGAAGAACTATGGGAATGGTTAAAGGGTTAGAAAACCAGCTGTAGAGTGACAAATCTAAAGTGCTCAGTCTATGTAGATCAGTGTTTCTTAAACTGTCTTCCGCTGCACACTGGTGTGCCGTGACGCAGTCGGAGGTGTGCCATGGAGAACAGAGTTCAAAATGGCCACCCTTAAAGGGGCAGGCGACTTTTTTTTTTTGCTCAACAAGTTCCCCCCAGCCTTTTTTTTTTTTTTTTTTTTGCACAACAAAAAAATCCTTGGTGTTCTGGATAAAAAAAAATATTGTTTGGTGTTCCTTGGTCTTAAAAAGTCTAAGAAACACTGCGGTAGCTTAACTAAGAGAAGGTTAAGGGATGACTTGATTACAGTCAATTGGCATCTCCATGTGGAGAAAATGTTTACTAATGGGCTCTTCAGTCTAGCAGGAAAAGAAATAACATCCTCAAATGACTAGAATTTGAAGCTAGACAAATTCAGATGGGAAATAAGACGTCATTTTTTGACAAGGAGGATAACAGGGACATGGGGACATCTTACCAAAGCTTGGTGGATTTTTCATCACTGACAACTTGGAAATTGGGGCTTGATTTATTTTTTTTCTAAAAGACCTTCTGTAGGAATTATTTTGGGGCATTTCTTTGATCATACCTGTCTCTTCTGGTCTTGAGCGCTCTGAGTCTATGTCCTGCATAGGAAAAAGGTTTCTTAAAAATAAGAAATGTAAGAACTTCTGTGGCCTAATACAGCAGTTGGATAAATTGGCTTGAGCAGGAAGTTGCTGGTTGGAATTTAGCATAGTGTAGCAGGGGAAAACGATGCCTGCCGTCTTGAAAATTCTCAGTGAATAACGGACATGCCTCTGTGGCAGCCAGAAAGTGTAATGTCCGGCTTTGGCAGACTTGTCTGCCCTAGTTTTGATCATGCTTGTGTGCTATAAATAGAAGTGTAGCTACTATGGATGAGCAGCAGGACAGGCACCCCAAGGATGATCCCATCTGAAGCCCTTTTGGTACCCTCACCAGAAGGCTGAGTTGACCATAGAGAATCACCTTCACTTCCTCAGACTTAGCTTGGCCTTTCCATGCTAGGCTGGGGGAGGAGGGATGTAGCCATGACTCAGCGTGGGAGACAATTCCTCTATGGCTCCCTGTTTTGTAGATAAATGAAAGACTTCATATTCGTTGGAAGCATAAAATTCTAACCCACTCACCTCCTCACTGTTGCCCTCACCCACTCAGAATTTTTCCTAATCTCTGACAAAGGTAAAAGTGCCTGGAAAATGCAGTACACCTCTTTGGCATGCTAGAAAACCAGAAAGCAAAATGCCAGACAGACTGTTGGCCAACATGGCAAAATCATACCAGCATAGGATAAAATCAGTAACATGGGGAATGTGTAGGAAAACAGTGACTTTTTCATGAAAATCATTTGGCATTTTTTCTTGAAAATGTTGAGTCACGTTTTTGAATTTGTGAAAATTTCACCCAGAGCTACAGGCTGGTTTAAAAAAATAAAAAGAAGCCGGCACCAGGACCTTGTTGTGCGCAGTGCTGTACATACGAAGAACAAAAGTATGGTCTCTGCTGCAAAGGAATTTAACATCTTGCATGCAGCGTCTGATGGCCTCAGTTCACATCATTGTACCCATTGAAATTGATCTGGGCAGATTCCGATAATGGTTATAGTACATCGAATAGCTTCTGGGTGCAAAGGACATTGGTGGGTAAAGAAAAAAGAAGATTCAGGGCATGTCTGCACTAGAAAACTATTTTGAAATCACTTAAATTGACTCAACTCCTGATTTAATAAAATGGAAATAGCGTGTCCTCACTATGGGAAACCCTCGAAATTAGTCCAAGGCAGGCTTTGTTAATGTGGACGAGCTACCTTGACTTAGAGCCCCAGGAAGCACTGGGGAAAAATTAGTTTGAATTACTCTAGGGCTGTGGTCCCCAACACGGTCATTTGTGTGCGCCCGTCAAGTGCTCAGGGCTGGCCTGGCCCCGGGCATGTGGTGCATGCGCGGTGCCGGAGCCGGCCCCGGGCGCGTGGCGCATGGTGAGCACCGGCCCCGGGGGCGCCGCGGATTGACCCCCCGCGGTGCATGGGAGAAGGGGAGGGAGAGCGCCGGCCGCTAGCGCCAGCCCTGGGCGCGCGGCGCTTGGGGGAGAAGGGAGGAGAGAGCGCCAGCGCCGGCCCCGGGCGTGCGGTGCTTGGGGGAGGGGGAGGGAGAGAGCGCCAGCCCCGGAATGCGGCTATGGGGGGGCCCCGCCCCCCCAGGCACCCAGCGGGCAAACGGCCACGCCCCCTGGCGCCCGGCAACCCCAAATGGTTGGGGACCACTGCTCTAGGGAGTAGTTATTTCGAAATAGCGGCACCGGAGCGTCCATACTATCACTGTTTCAAAATAACTATTTTGAAATTAGCATTATTCCCTAAGGGAAACAGGAGTACAGATTTCAAAATAAGCAGCCCGTTATATTGAAATAACTGGCTTGGTAGTGTGGATGCGCCTCTTATTAATTTGACCCAAGAGAGGTTATTTCAAAATAAAGCCTTAGGGTATGTCTAACCTACATGGCTCCGTCAACGGAGCTATGTAGATTAGTTTGCACAAAAAAGGGAAATGAAGCTGTGATTTAAATAATCACCACTTCATTTAAATCAAAATGGCCACCGCGCTGTGCCGATCAGCTGATTGGGTCACGAGGCATAAAGGATCTGCCGACGAAGGGTTCTATCCCCATCTAGACTGCCGCACTGTGCCGACAATCAGCTGATCGGCACAGCACGGTGGCCATTTTGATTTAAATGAAGCGGCGATTATTTAAATCGCCGCTTCATTTCCCTTTGCCGTCCTGCCTAATCTACATGACTCCATCGACGGAGCCATGTAGTCTAGACACACGTAGGCTGTGTTTAGACTGGAAAGTTTTTCTGCAAAATCATCTGCTTTTGCGGAAAAACTTGCCAGCTGTCCACACTGGCCGCTTGAATTTCCGGAAAAGCACTGACGATCTCATGTAAAATCATCCGTGCTTTTCCGGAAAAACTATGCTGCTCCCGTTTGGGCAAAAGTCTTTTTCCAAAAGACTTTTGCGCAAAAGGGCCAGTGTAGACAGCATAGAACTGTTTTCCGCAAAAAAGCCCCGATCGTGAAAAAGGCGATTGGGGCTTTTTTGCGGAAAACCGCATAGAACTGTTTTCCGCAAAAAAGCCCCGATCGTGAAAAAGGCGATTGGGGCTTTTTTGCGGATAACCGCGTCTAGATTGGTCACGGACACGTTTTTCCGCAAAAAGTGCTTTTGCAGAAAAGCGTCCTGCCAATCTAGACGCGCTTTTCCAAAAATGCTTTTAAGGGAAAACTTTTCCGTTAAAAGCATTTTCGGAAAACCATGCCAGTGTAGACGTAGCCCTTTAGTGTAGACCAGGTCTGAGTGACTACACACTAGCAGTACGTTTGTTTCCAGCTCTATTCACAGCTTTTTCTCCATAAAGAGAAACTCTTTACCACCTATTTTAGACCCCTTATGCCTGCCTGAATGCTGTAAGCAAATTTGTCACCCAGGGGGTGTATCTACACAGCAGGGCTTAACTCGAAATAAACTACACAAATTGAGCTACGTCAATTGTGTAGATTATTTCAAAATTGGGAGTGTCTACATAGCACTTATTTCAAAATAGAGCACTCTTCCTTCCTCTTACTCCTCGTACAATGAAGGTTACAGGAGTCGGAATAAGAAGTCCTCCAGCTCGACAGTATTTCGACATTATTTCAAAATAACTGCCTGCTGTGTCGACGTGGACTAAGTTATTTCAAAATAATGTCTCTGTGTAGACGTACCCGGATTCTGATTACTGCCAGTGCTTCTCCTTGGGCGCCACTAGAATGTGTTGCCTTCATCTTTTTCTTGAATTCGAATCCTAGGGCTTGATTCTCTGTCAACGTTAATGGTGCTACATTTATATATTTTCTACCAGCTAAAGATCCAGGAACAGGCCCCCCTTTGCACCCCCTATTGGTGGGCAATTGCTTTAGGGCCCGGTGATTCTAAAGGGCCCAGGGCCCCCAGCTACCAACACTACTGAAACAGTGGCAGCACCTGGAACCTGGGGCCCTTTAAATTGCCGCCGGAGCCCCACACAGCCTGCTCTGGGTGTCTCTGAGGGCTGAGGGGGCCAACGTGGCACGCTCCCAGTGGCATTGAGGGCTGGATACCACTACCCCTTCTGCCCAAAGCTCCACCCCTCCCAGGGTGTGTCTAGACTACATGCCTCCTTCGACGGAGGCATGTAGATTAGCCAGATCGGAAAAGGGGAATGAAGCCGCGATTAAAATAATGGC